TATATTCAAAGAATTTATAATCCCTTATTTAAAGGTATCCCTAGAAGTACTTGTAGATCTGATATCTTTAGACTTCATGGACAATATCAGACATACATACGTTATTTGTTTGACCACTTTCCTTGTAGAGTTTCTCTAACTTCTGATATTGGCCATGCTGTAAATGGAAATGATTATTTGACAATTACATATCATTGGATAGATAATAATTATTGTATGCAAAAATGTATTATCGCTTTTAAATATGATGAAGATCAAAGCCATACTGCTATTTTTATAAGTACTACTATTTGCGAAGTTGTTGAATTTTATAATCTAAATAAAAAAGTATTGTGTATGACTTTTGAAAACACTTCTAACAATAATGCCGCTATTTTCAATATTAAGACTGCATTTGAAACTACCACTAGACAAAATTTTTCATGTTAGGTGTGCATGCCATGTTTATAATTTAATCGGTAAAAGTGGCCTTGATTTATTTTCAAGTGAGATTACTCATGTTAGAAGAGCAGTGGGTTTTATTCAAGGAAATAATAGACAATCTAGAATTAGGGAATTTAAGACTAAGTGTACGGAGCATAACCTTAAACCCAGATTCATGCCAGATGAAATTGTTACTAGATGAAATTATACATACTTATTTTTAAAATGTTGCTACAAATATAGATTGCCGATAACTAAAGTTTTTAATGCGCATTGTACTGATCCAACCCGTATGTTAACAACTAATACTTGGGAGGCCATTAATGATGTTGTTCAATTTTTACATAAATATTTTACAACTACTGTTGAGTTTTCTGGAGCATATTACCCTACTGTTACTATGAGTTTAGTACATATAGTTGAAATATTTTTTCTAGTCTTTGAATTTAAGAAGAAAAAAAAATATAAGGATGTTGTTGAAAAAATGCAAGCCAAATTCAAAAAATATTTCTTTTCAATTCCTCCGATTTACTTAATTGTTGCTGTTTTAAATACTTCTATAAAGATGTCTAATTGTCATCAATTAACAAACGCTTTATATAGTTATATGGAGATTGGATTAACTAAAACCCAGATATATATATATATATATATATATATATATATATATATATATATATATATATATATTTTATTTTTTTTTCCTGCTAATATATAAATAAAATCCCAAAATGGATCCAATGCTTACAAGATGTCCAAACCAAAATAGAAATTGCATGAAGCTACTAGCTATTAAAAAGGATAGAAAAGCTAAAATCTAATGAACTAACTATTACAACATGATAAGTTGAATGCTTCCTTCTCCTATTAGTGTATGTGAATCCAATTGTCATTGGCAAATACCAAGCGGCATCTATCAAGCTCTCACCAGGTGCCAGGGTATATTGTCCATAAGCTAAAATGAATTCCAAACATCTCCACCGTAGAGTTAAAGTCCGCATCGTCCTCCAAGTTTCGCTACTATATGATCTCCATATGTAGTGAACTGATTTTGTTCAAGTATTAATCATGTGCTCACTCATCAAGATTAATGTGTAGAAGAGGAGCCTGGCTTTAGGCAGGCTTTGCAAGGCAAAAGCCAGGCTTGAGCTGGCTTTAGGCAGGCTTTACAAGGCAAAAGCCAGGCATGAGCTGGCTTTAGCCAGGCTTTGCAAGGCAAAAGCCAGGCTTGAGCTGGCTTTAGGCAGGCTTTACAAGGCAAAAGCCAGGCATGAGCTGGCTTTAGCCAGGCTTTGCAAGGCAAAAGCCAGGCTTGAGCTGGCTTTAGGCAGGCTTTACAAGGCAAAAGCCAGGCATGAGCTGGCTTTAGCCAGGCTTTGCAAGGCAAAAGCCAGGCATGATCTGGCTTTAGGCTGGCTTTACAAGGCAAAAGCCAGATATATATTGTTGTATGAACAAGCTAAATAATTATTTATAACAATTATATAATTATTATGCAAATATAATTGATGATGTTGCTATTAATGTAGGCAATGTTAATCCCACTATGCATTGTACTACTTCTACTACATATGCTAATATGGATGAAGATCAAGGCCTTGATGGTTATAATATTTGGGCTATATTTCCTTCCACTCAAACCAGTAGCAGAAACATTGATAAACTTCAATTCTACTTGCAAAAACAATCAGAGCCTCGCAATAAGGAATTTACACCGTTGGGATGGTGGCGTGAGAATGCAAAGCAATTTTTTGTTCTTTCCACTTCGGTTCGGGACGTGCCGAATGTGCCAATTTCAACGGTTGTATCAGAGAGTGTATTTAGTCAAGCAAGACAACAACTAGGAGACACTCGTCACTCATTGAGAAGCAATGCTTTGGAAGTTTTAGTATGTTTTTGAGATTGGATTAGATCGGAACGAAGAAATCAGGGACGTGAAGATGTTGATAAATCAGAAGACGAGGAACTTGGAGATATATTAACACATAGTCACCCATCTGAATTTAACACTCCAGAAGATAGCCAAGACGTTCATATTGATTATGAAGAACTTACTAAGGCAATGCAAAACCTTTGAAGTTCTAGATTTATATTTAATAATTAAATTTTGAATTTACTCTTTTTTTGTTAATTTAGTTGTTGATAAATGTGAACTTTAATTTGCAAGTTTGAAATAAGAATTATAAGTGGAATTTTTTTTCATCTTCATTGTATTTTATTATCTTAAATTCTTAATGAAATATTCAAATATTAGAATTTTAAGGCCTTTGAATCCTTTATTCAAACACTCTTTTTATAAGATTATTTTTTTGTTTTATATTTTTATTTAATATTAATATAAATTATGATAGTTATACAAAATACAAAAAAAAAATACATAAACCCGGCCCGGCCCGGTCCCATAGGCCCGGAACCGTTCCGGTTCAATTTTTCACTAGATAGACCCGGACCAGTTAAGTCTGGTTTGTACAACCCGAAAATCGGCCCGGATTGGTGACCGGTCGGTCACTATTTTTGCCAACCCGGCCCGGCCCGGCCCACCCCTTTGTCACCTTTAGTTATGTCCCAGTAAACGTGTTATCCATAGGGCTGGTCGTTTTTTGTCTGTTATTTTTCTTGAAATATTTCCCCCACGAAATTTATTTTTCGGAGATTATTTAGATAATGCAGTAGAAGATTGCAGGATGTTTTGAGGTCCTGATAGTGCTATTGATGGCGTTTTGATCGAGTTGCTTTGGAACTGGAGACTAACGTGATATGCGTACTTAATTCACGGTTCAACAGGTAACTCGTGTAAACTTCATATGTGCTAGTTATTTAATTTATACGTTAATTTAATATTGGGATTGTTTCTGCTGCTTTATATAATCCATCATTCTAGACATAAAGATTAAAAAAAAAGGAGGTTTTCTTCCAGGATAGAGATAGTTAATTAAATTAATTCATCGAATCTTTCACCTTAAAAGATGGAAAAGATCTCTGTTTGGATCGACACCATGAAAGCGAAGATCCGTGAAATCGCTCCATTGAGCGGCGAACTACCATGATTTTGAAGCTTCTCTTCAATGAAAATATGAAGAAAATCAACAATCTCTTTCTTCAGTCCCACTTAATGTTGAAACCAGTGAAAAATAGAGTTTTTGCTTTTAACGAAATATTTTTAGCTTGTCAAACATTTCTTTCTTTATCAGAAAAATTATTGGTAAATTAGATCTTTGATTGGTCGACCGTAAGTAAGATTTTTGATTGGTCGGCTTCATGAAAGCAAGAAAGAAAGCAAGTTTATTGAACGAAAAGATGAAAGAGATGGGGTCTTGTTAGAGAAAATAATATTATCGGTATAGCGACTACAACGAAAATTAACACAGAACAATCGATATTGATAAAATTGCAAAAGAACCAAAGTAGCTCAGCAACATTGATACTTTTCTTGTTTGACCAAATTATATTGGCAACTTTACACAAATGTACACTCGAAACTAACAGTTCACGCCCATATTAGTCCAAAAGCTAAATTTTACAACAGAAAAGCTCTCGTGGCACAATGACTTTATCTTTCCATAAAACGGCTGCTCCTTTCACCCCATTCCCAAATTTCACGCCCCACTTCTAGCCTCTAGCCAATCAGTCATATCCGTTACTACTTTTAGTTTTATTTTTGCCTATTTTCTGTTTTTTTAATTCATTATAAAATATTTGGGAAAGTAATGTGGCTTTGCACGCTCTTTGTCTCTTTTTTTATATTTAATTTCTTTTTCGTTTTTTCCTTCTCAGGAAAAAGAAGTGACAATATGCTTAAAGATTTATCTTCTTACTACATGTTAATATATTCTACTTGAGTTCTTTTTACAAAATTTATATATTTTGTAAGTGAAAACTTTTGTTTCACTTGAAACATTCAAAATTACAGTGAACAGCGTGTATATATAATATTGTTATACACATATACAAGAATAATCATGTATTATTATACATTGAGTATCACTACCTGAATGCCGGGATTTTTATCATTTTCAGTAAAATCAAGTCATTCAACACGACATAGTGGTTATCCATTTTTCTCAATCCAGATTAACACCAAACATTGCACACATGTCCCAAATGACATAACGAATCTATTTCAACTTACGGAACAACAATCCGAACCCAGTAGCCTCAACTCAACTCCCGGTCAAACTTATAAACTTCTCAAACCTTCAAATTGCCAACTTTCTCCAAATAGAGCCAAATGATCTTAGGAACCTCCAAATTCAAATCCGGACTTACGTCTAAGTCCAAAATCATCATACAAACCTATTGGAACCATCAAAACATGAATCCGAGGAAGTCTACACAAAACTCAAACCTCGGTCAACTCTTACAATTTAAGCTTCCAAAAGGAGACTAAGTATCTCAATTCACTCCAAAACCTTTCCGAAACAATCCCAACCATCCGCACAAACCACCAAACATCAAATACACATACGAAAAATATTAAATAGGGGAACGAGGCTAAAATACACAAAATGATAGGCCGGATCGTTACATTCTTCCCCTCTTAAACAAATATTCATCCTCGAATGAGTCTAGAGTCATACCTGAAATGCCAAAAAGGTGAGCATATCTTCTCTGCATATCATGCTCGGTCTCCCAAGTCGCCTCATCTACTGATTGACGTCTACAATAAACCTTCACCGATGCAATATCTTTCGATCTCAGCTTTCGAACCTGCCAATCCAAAATAGCCACGGGCTCCTCATCATATGTCAAATCCTTGTCCAACTGCACCGAGCTGAAATCCAACACATGTGATGGATCCTCATAGTACTTTCGAAGCATAGAAACATGCAATACCGGATGAACTCCCGACAAGCTGGGTGGCAAAGCAAGCCTGTAGGCCACTTCACCAACTCTCTCCAAGACATTGAATAGACCAATCAACCGAGGGCTCAATTTGCCCTTCTTCCCGAACCTCATCACGCCCTTCATAGGCGAAACTTTGAGTAGAACCTTCTCACCCACTATGAATGCCACATCACGAACTTTTCTATCTGCATAACTCTTCTGTCCTGATTGTGTTTTGCAAAGCCTCCCCTAAATCAATGTCACATTCTCCAAAGTATCTCGAACTAAATCTGTGCCCAATAATCTAGACTTCCCAGGCTCAAACCAACTAGCCGGAGAACGACATCCCTCGTACGGATCCATCTCGATACTAGACTGGTAGTTGTTGTTATATGAAAACCATGCTAATGGTAAAAACTGATCCAACTTGCCTCCGAAATCAATAATGCAGGCCCTCAACATATTCTCCAGGATCTAAATGGTCTGCTTGGACTGTCCGTCCGTCTAAGGATGAAATGATGTGCCTAAAATAACCTGTGTGCCCAACTCATGCTGCAAAGCTCTCTCAGAAATGCAAGGTAAACTGAGTACCGCGATCCAAGATGATAGAAAACAGGTACACCATTGTCACACCCCAAAAACCGAGAAGCGCCACCGGCGCTCAACCGAGAGAACCCGGCCTAGCAAGCCTATTAGATTTTCTTCTACCCAAACTCATCGATGAATAAAGAGGAGATGTACTCCATTAATCAAACAGTGAAAAGATTTTATTAACAACTTCCTTTTCATTCCCATTAGCAGCTTCATTCATAATTTTCAAAATGTTTCGAGTTTATAGAATTAATGAAAAACATGATTTTCAAATACCAATATTTCTAGTTCAATTCCCCAACATCAACCACAACCCACAACCTGTCTACGGAGCCTCTAAGTAGAATAAAATAGTAATATGGAAATGCCAGCAACAAGGCCCCGGCTATACCTCAAAACACAGTACATGAGAAACAAAAGATACATGACCCCGAAATAAAGTGGGGCTCACCAAATCAGCTGAAAAAGAATGCACTGCTATCACTGATCAATGTCATCTGTTGTAGAACCACCTGCATCCATTTAAAGATGTAGCGCCCCCGGCAAAAGGGACGTTAGTACCGTTGAATAGTACTAGTATGAAAACCAAACACCAATTTAAAAATTTAGAAATACAATATGAATATGATAAATCAGGGCGACAATAACATGATATAACTAACCGTTTAAATCAGAGCAAGCTTATTAAGAGCTATCATTATCATTTATAGGATTTAAGATGAGATCCTATGTAACCATCTCCACACAAAGCGGTCATGCCGCCTCACCCGATGTATGCGCGTGGAGGTATAGGTACAATACCATAACTCTACACAAGCGGCCCTGCCGCCTCACCCCAATGTATGCGGGTGGATGTATAACCACAGTACTAAGAACTTACACAAAGTGGCTATGCCGCCTCACCCCAATGTATGCGGGTGAAAATACATCAACGATACCAATACCAACACAAAGCAGCTGTGCCGCCTCACCCCAATGTATGCGGGTGGAAATGCATCAACAATACCAATACCAACACAAAGCGGCTGTGCCGCCTCACCCCAATATATATATGTGGGTGGTGATGCCACAACAATACCAAAACTATACACAAAGCGGTCATACCGCCTCACCCCAATGTATGCGGGTGAAGGTGTAGTCCCACCAATAATCCCCATACAAAGCGGTCATGCCGCCTCACCCCGATATATGCGGGTAGAGGTGTATCACAATAACAATCTCTATACCATAATCCCCACACAAAGCGGTCATGCCGCCTCACCCCAATATATGCGGGTGGAGGTGTATCACAATCACAACCTCTATACCATAATTCCCACACAAAGCGGTCATGCCGCCTCACCCCAATATATACGGGTGGAGGTGTATCACAATCACAATCTCTATACCATAATCTCCATACAAAGCGGTCATGCCGCCTCACCCCAATATATGTGGGTGGAGGTGTATCACAATCACAACCTCTATACCATAATCCCCACACAAAGCGGCCATGCCGCNCTATACCATAATTCCCACACAAAGCGGTCATGCCGCCTCACCCCAATATATACGGGTGGAGGTGTATCACAATCACAACCTCTATACCACAATTCCCACACAAAGCGGTCATGCCGCCTCACCCCAATATATACGGGTGGAGGTGTATCACAATCACAACCTCTATACCATAATCCCCACACAAAGCGGCCATGCCGCCTCAACCCAATATATGCAGGAGCAGGTGTATCACAATCATAATCTCTATACCATAATCCCCACGTAAAACGGTCATGCCGCCTCACCCCAATATATGCGGGTGGAGGTGTATCACAATCACAATATCTATACAACTTGGCATAATAACTTTCACATAAATCACGACTTGAAATTATAACATGTGGATACACAATCCATAGTTTGGAACACATCCTCAATTTATAATGCAATATGATAAGAGCATTTGAAACACGAATTGAACATATATCTTTATCACAAAACTTATCGGAATACTCGATTTGTAATCAACATCTTGGAACTTATAAGGATAATGGGAATTCCAATTCTTAAAGAAGAGTTTAGTCAACATACCTCGCTTGAGCTTCCTTACACTCTAAATGTTCCGGAATTCTTAGAAACTTCAATCTATTTTAGAAATATAACGAATTGAACCAAAATTAGGAAGATGATCATAGTTCTAGCTCATTTGAGCATTTTATCAAACACTAGCTGTGCATTAAGGTTTCAAGGTCCTTTAATGGAGGATTCCATCATTCCACAACCCAATCTTTATCATTTTTAGCTCAACAATCTTCCTACACTCTTTGATAATACATGCATGTAAAATAAACAACTCTTATGCCCAGATATTATCTTGCTAATTATTCATTTCTACACAAAATTCGAAATTGAGGGTTAGGGTGTAGAATTTTATCTCTAGGATGAAGATCTAGTGAGTTTTCCTTGTTAATCTCCAAAGATTTGAGCAAGAATCAAAGAAAAATTTGTTGAAGAATACCTTCTCACTCTAGGACACTCTCTCTCACTCTAAAAATATCAGTTTTTTTTGCCAAATAACCTAACCCCTCTCTATTCCCGGCCTTGGGGTTATTTAATGAGTTCCCACATCCGCGGCCGTGGATTTGGCCGCGGATTGGAGGCAGAAACTCTCAAATATGCGCGGCCGCGGATTCGGCCGCGCATCTGGCCGCGCATATGACACATGTTTAGTAACATGGCCATAACTTTCTGTATACATATCCAAATGACAAATGGTTTGATGCGTTGGAAACTAGATTCAGAGGGATTTAATTTGATAGGTTATACACCATATAAATCTTCCTATCTAGAGAGTTATGTTTGTTTCAAGTTAGATCTTGTGCAAACTCACTTGAAATTTTATCCTATCATATAATTTTCAGCTTGACTTAGCCTTATGGCTCTTCTTAGACCATAAACCATTATTAATGCACCTCATACATATATTATCATCATCAATTGATATCACTCAAATTATCAATCTTGTTCATACCCAAATTAATATAATTAGCACCCGCCAACCTTCTTAATGGTCTTAAAATACTTCAAAAAATTTTCGGGGTGTTACAACCATGCAAGTGAATGATCTCCCGGATTTAGATACTAGCTAACTACTCTGAAATGTAGGAAGTCACAACCAGAATGAAATATGCCGATTTGGTCAACCTATCCACAATAACCCAAATGGAACCAAGCTTTCTCGAAGTCTATGGCAATCCTACAATGAAGTCCATAATGATACACTCCCACTTCTACTCCGGTATCTCAATCTTCTGAAGCAACTCACCAGGTATATGATGCTCATACTTGACCTGCTGACAATTCAAATACCATGCAACATGCCCCACAATGTCTTTTTTTATCATTCTCCTTGAATAATGTTGCTTTAAATCATGATGCATCTTCGTAGAACCTGGATGAATGGACTACCATGAACTATGAGTCTCCTCAAGAATCAACTCTCTCAAGCCATCCATATTAGGAACACAAATCCGACCCTAAAACCTCAATACCCCAGCATCTCCAATAGACACCTCCTTAGTATCACCGTGCTACACCGTGTCCTTAAGGATAAGCAAGTTAGGATCATTATAATGACGTGCCTTAATGCGCTCAAACAAGGACGACCGAGATGCAAAGCAAGCAAGAACCCTACTAGGCTCCGTAATATCCAATCTCACGAATTTTTTGGCCAATGCCTGGACATCCATGGTTAAAGGCCTCTCCACAGCTGGAATGAATGTTAAGATCCCCATACTCTCAGCCTTTCCGCTCAAGGCGTATGCAACCACATTAGCCATCCCCGGATGATTGAGCATGGTGATATCATAGCCCTTCAATAGATCCAACCATCTCTGTTGCCTCATATTCAAATCTTTTTGTTTAAACAAATGCTGGAGATACACCATAAAAATAATGCCTCCAAATCTTGAGCGCGTGCACAATAGTTGCCAACTCCAAATCATGGACCATATTGTTCTTCTCATGGAGCTTCGACTAGCGGGATTCATAATCAATCACCCTACCGTCGTGCCTCAACACACATCCAAGACCAATCCGTGAAGCATCAAATTAAACTGTATATAAACCCTGTTGACACTGAATTTTGACCCTCCGTATTTAAAAATGAACTTATGCAGGTTTTCTAGTAAAAAATAATAAAAATGTAGGTTTTTGCACATTATTTGACTTTAATGCAATTTATTGATAATTATTTCTATTTTCATAAAATATAATTTTTTTTTTATCATTTTATTGCCATTAGTTAAATACTACAACTTTTGTGCATTTTCTAATAAATCAAAATAATTTATTGATTATTTTCCTATTTTTTAAATATTAGGATATTCCATCAATTTATTTTCCTTCAAAAATAAATAATAATAATTATAATATTATTCTAGTAGTTGACATTTTTAATATATACTACAAGTCATATTTTTTATTCAATAATTATATTTTAATTTTACAACATAGTCTACTAATAACATATAAGCCAGTAAAATTTATTTCTAAATACGGATCAAATCCAGTCAAATCATATATCTTGTGAACATCTGATGTGACATGATAGTTGATATGAATAAACATGTGACATGACACCTGATATGATGTGACATGAAATATGATTTGATGTGATATGAAATTTGTTTACCCATGGGGTAAAACCTATTCCTTATCCTCTCATGTAAGCTATTAAATTATATAGATATACACACATACACAGATAAAATAATAATACACAGTGTTTGATACACAGTTTTCACCCTTGGTTTTAATTTGGTAGTTTTATTGTGGACCACATATTTTTGTTTTTATTATTACATTTATTTCTAATTAAATAAGTCCCACAC